GCCAAGGCCGTGGTCGAACAGTTGTTGAAGATCATCGAGAAGGCAGATTGCGATCTGCTTGTTTCCTCCATCAAGGCCGTTGGGCACTTGGCGAGGACGTTCCGAGCAACGGAGACGAGGATGATCGGGCCGCTGGTGAAGCTGCTCGACGAAAGGGAGGCCGAGGTTTCGATGGAGGCGGTGATTGCTCTGGACAAGTTCGCTTGTCCAGAGAACTTCCTCCATGACAACCATTGCAAGGCCATAATCGAAGCAGGAGGGACGAAGCATCTGATTCAATTGGTGTATTTTGGGGAGCAGATGGTTCAAATTCCTTCATTGATTCTGCTGTGCCACATAGCTTTACATGTTCCTGATAGTGAGGTACTAGCACAAGAAGAAGTACTCATAGTCCTGGAATGGTCTTCAAAACAGGCGCACTTAGTGGAAGAACCCACCATAGAAACTCTTCTGCCAGAAGCCAAGAGTAGGTTGGAACTTTATCAGTCCAGAGGTTCAAGAGGATTCCATTGATTCTTTCCTTTTTTTTTTCTCCTCACCCTTACAATCTGTATAATAATTGTTCAAAAAGATGGAAAAAAGGAATTTTTGGGTTTTACTTTTTAAGTTGTTGTGTCTGATCAAAGTGTATGTAAATTAGTCTGTTTTGTGATTACTTGTAATGGATTAGAAAGCCTCTAACAGTCCATTTAGCTTTTGAACTTCTTCTGTTCAATTTCCATATCAACTTTTAATCTTAATCTAGTTTGGTTTGTTGTTCATCATTCTGATTCTGGCTTGCAAATTTTCACATCCTGGGACTCGCCTGGTTTTGGTTATAACACAACTCCTTTGCCCATCACCTCATGCTCAAGTAGCATATTCAAACAGGTTATTAATGCTCTCACCAATTGAGTTTAATTAGTTCTAATTAACCATTTTGAAATGTTAATTTGTTCGGTAAATTTTTCATTTTTAGATCAAACAATATTTATGTTTAATGTTTGTAACTAATCAAAAACAGAAACAAATGAAAAGAAATTTGTTTTGATTCTATCCTATTAAATTTCAGTACAATTTTGATAATGTTTCCAAAAAATGAAAAACAAGAAACATAATATTTTTTAAAAAATATATATATATCAATAAACATAATTGGTTGCAAAATACTTATGTTTCCTAATAAAATTTGGAGACAAGAAACAACAAATTACCAAAGGAGCACTAAATTTTCATTAATTATTTTTAATTATTAAAATTAAATAATATTTTCATATATTAATTTAAAGACAAATAATTTTTTGTTTCATCACTCTAGAGGAGATGGCCACAATGTGGGTAGTAGCTCTATACCAATAGAAACGGTTTCTATTATGGTTAGTAAATAGTCAATTTTAACCTTAAAATTCTAATTCAGGGTAAATTTAATAAGTTACAAAATTCATGCTACTCTCAACCAAATTAGATAAATGCTTACACAAATTAATAATTTACCTAAAATTTAGATAACAAAACACCCTAAAATTGAATCATAACATTTTAAAAAGATCTGTTAATACAAAGTTGTGACAACATTTTTATAGATTAATTGAGTGCAATGCTTTGCTAAAATTGTGATTGAGAAAAATATCCTATTTTAAGCATAAAAACAAAAATTCAAACTCATTAAAAAATACATAAATAAGAAATAAATATATTTTAAAAAATTAAATCTACCTATTAAAACTAGAACCATGAAGTTACAACAGCTCTTTTTCTTTATTACAAAAATAATAAACTACCCAAACTCCTATAAAATAAAACTATTATGTCAAATTAAGAAAATCGACCTCTTAAATTATTATTGATGTAAATAAAAATATAATAAATATATTAAGTGTAATATATACCTAAATAAACAAATGAAATTAGATAATAGAGATTTATATTGGAAGCGAATTTCTATTCCTTTTATGTTTTAACTAAAATTTCAAAACTCAAAAGTAAAAATGATTGAGAAACAAAAACAACCTTTCTCAATAGAAAACTGGTTATATGAATTAATAAATAATAATGACTATGATTTAATTCTTTAGAAAAGAATACATCAATTTCTACTTTTTCTTATAATTTCAATTATCATGGAATAAATATATAACATTGATTAAGGTTCAAAAATAATAATATAAATACCTTTAACTAAAAGTAAAAAATTGACATAATTTTATTACTTAATCTATAAAATATATTTTAAAAAAATATTGTACCAAATGTAATTTGTTTTGTTAGTTTGATAGACAATGTATATTTAAACCGTTCAAGGTAAATATTCAATTATTTAGTCGTGGATTTGAATCCACACTCTCGTACGTTATATTAAAGGAAATACTTGAGCCACAACTAAGCTAAGATATCTTCTTCTCTTAGAGGTTGAAAAGTTCAAATCTCTACCTCCTTAAAATTCATTTTTATCCATGTAATTTTTAATGGTCTATGTTTTATCCTTCTACTTTTTAAATTATTTGTGAAATACACAACGAAAATCCTTTAACACAAAATTGTAGCTACATTTCAAAATATTTATCGAGGGTAGTATAACATAATGCTGAAATTGTTATTGAAAAAATTTAAGATAAAAAGTAAAATGAACCAAACTAAAACAGAAGCCAAAGTTGAAGATATGGAGATGAAAAACAGAATTTGTAACAAACTGTTAAAATTAATAATTTAATTTTTATAGTTTAAAATTTCTAACAATTTAGTTCTTATAAAATTTTATATCAAAATTAAGTACCGATTTTTATCGTATAATGATTTAGTCTTTGTAATTTATAAGCACATTTGATCCTTCCTCAATTTATCAATCTAAATGTATAAGAAAGTTAACAAAATTTATCAAGATAGGGACTAATAAGTGCCTATTAAAATTTGAGAACCAATTTGTTACAAATTTAGAACCAAATCGTTACAAATTAAAGTTGAAAGACTAAATTCTTGCAAAAATCCGAGATCAAAAGTCTTTCCGCAACGAAAAGAAGAGAGAAATAAAAAGGAAAGGAATGTAGATGGCATGGGGCATGTGAAACGAGGTGAGGAGCAAGGTAAGAAGGTATATATGAAATTATAAATAGATGAAAAAGATGGAGAAGAGACAGGGGATGACACGATTGAGAAAGATGATGGAATATTATGCAGTGTTTGCAGTAAAATAAGAACACAAGAACCGAGGGAGAGGGAAATTGGAGGGAAATAGGAGTGATGGTGCTGTCAATTTCACAATCCAAAAGCCGAACGAATTTATCTGTTTTCTAGGAAAAAGCCCAAAATCCAGAGTCAAGTCTCTTTTTTTTCCTTTTTATAGTGACAGCCAGAAAGAAGAAGACTGTGGCTTAGGCTTTTGTTTGGATTACACAGGGCATCACAATCTCTTTCTCTGCTACTGTCTCTTTCTTGTTCTTCTTCGATTCCTTTCCCTTTCTTCCACTTCCCCACTTTCAGGCTCCAATCCTTTTCTTCTTGCGTCATCTCCTCTCCCCATAACTTTATCCGTATTTCATCGGATAATATCACCGTTGGATCAAGAAGGAACTTATCAAGGTTTATAAAGATGTTGCGGTTTTTATTTAGACCACATTCGACGTTAAATTTCATCCAAAACTAGAATGGAAATGTAATAGCATATTTAATCTTTTTCTTTTTTAATTATTTTTATATTTCAGAGCATTAGGATGGACCTAAGCTGCTGAGAATCAGAGCTACAATGTCGAACTTGGCCAAAGGAAAATCACAAACAAAACCTAATTTCTATTTTTGTGTGACAGTGTCTAGATGACGTGAAAGAGGCTCACACATCTAGTACGATGGTTGGCAACACGGTCAATGGTGGTGGTTACGATGGTGGAGCGAAGGCGGGGCAGCAGCCGTGGAGTTATGAAGTTGCGGTGGTGGTGGTGACGGTGGGATTATTGGTGGGAGAGGAGGTGGACATTGATAACACTTGGCGAAGAGACCAAAGGTATTAATTTGTCCTACGAAGTTGGTCATGCTTGCCCATCCACCGAACCCGAACCCGACCACCAAGACCCACACCACCACAAACACATTAATCGTACAGGTTCCCACCCATCCACCCACAAATTTTGGTGGCTGCTCTACAGCATTCTGCATCCAAATAAAAGATTAAATTTATTGTAACTTATCAACTTAAATATAATTCCAGTTTGACCATACATGACCAATAAAAAAATCAATAAAAAGTAGAGACGGGGCTAACCTCTCTGGCGGTAGTCGATTTGAAGGTGAAGATGTGAGCGAGGGCAGGGATGATGTAGACAGTAAAACTAACGAGGAGCGAACCGACAGCAGAGTTGATGGGGCCAAAGAAAGGGAAGACAATGGCCAGAAACCAAATGGGAATGACCACAGGCAATCTAGCCGCCGCCCGTTTGCATAAGCTCTTGCAATCGTGCAATCCTATGGCTTTCTCCCAAACGAAATATAACGGCGTGCATGCGAACCCAAACGTTATAAACTGTCCCACATCCACCCCAATCAATGTCATCACACCATGAGTTAAAAGCTCAATTTCTTATCTATCAATACTAGCTATTTTAGCTACAATTTGATTTACGATTTGGTTAGTTTTCACCCACTTCAGAATTGATGCAAACAATCAATCTCATTTAAGCAAAACATCAATTATCATCATCATACCAGATAGATAACATGTAGTACTCATATATGATTACGACTTGCAATCTTACAAAAAATTTGTGAGGTTTAACGAAACCGTAGAGACCGAAAAATTACCTGGTGGATAAGCATCAAGACAACAGCCATGTCTCTAAAGGGAGATTTAGGGAGAAGGGCAAAGGCATTGGAGTGATTAAGAAGCAAATCTCCAAAGGCCCAATAAACAGCCGCCGCCGAAGGCAGTGTCAGTGTGACCACATACACCGTAGCCACTAAGTATATGCTCTTAAATTTTTCTGGCTTCCACATCGCATGCATAATTTCCCTGTACCATCTCAAATTAATATATTAATCCAAAAAGAAAAAAACCTAAATATATTTTAAAAATCAATTATTATCAATTAACCAATGTCAAAGTACTTTTTAAGTGGGGGCGGAACAGTACTTCCATTGAATGATGCTGGACTGTACACATTGCTTGAATTTAATTAGTTAATTTGTTTTTTCTTAAAATTAATATATTATTTTATTTTATTGTAGTCCTTTGATCTCATTAAATGTTCCACAAATTAATTTTACTGTTGAATCCTTTATGATATTTAAAACCACATGCGGATCACTTATTAAGTGAATTGTTTTTACTGTTTATTTTTAAACATGGTTTCTAAGCAGATCCTAATTAGAGTTGGGGGCTGCTTGATAAAAGTAAAAATAAAATGAATAGTAAATTGGTAATCTGCGAGGATGGTGAAAGGATAAAAAGAGAGAAAAAGGGGAAAGTAAATCAGAATTCAGAAGAGAAAAAAGGAGAGATTCCACAGGAAAATTAGACTTTTCATACACGCCTGATAAAGACAAATATCCGAATAATACCAAACACTATTTTCTAAATATGTAATATTTCAATAACTCCTCGGTATAACCAATTAAAAAAAGGAAAAAAAAAAACAAAACAAAAAGAATCTTGTTTAGTTTTTATATTAGATATGATATAAGGGGAAAATAGTTTTTCTTTTCCTGTTACCTTGAGAAGGAAATTTTAGCTAAACTTCGAATGAGTGATGAAATTAAATCTAGATCTTGTAACTAGCTAGGTTAAGGTATTTTTATGGCATTTTGCCATTTTTTTATTATTATAAACAACATTCTAAATCGTCGAAGTACTGTGATATCATAAAGATTTTATGTTTAAACCTTTAAATTAGCTTAATATCAAAAACCTTTAATGTCGTTTAGGTTTGGATCTTGTGACGGGCGAGGCTACCCTGATTATAGTGTTAAAAAGCTACTGAGATTATAAAAGAAAGATTCTAATAATCTAAATTGTTCATGTTGTTACTAAATTTTTCTATTGGCTAAATAGTGCCGTTAGATTTAGAGTTGAGTAAAAAATAGAAAAAAAAATATGTAGGTCGTTTAATTGTGTGCGCAAGTTCAGGAATAACTTATAAAATTTAACTAAACTAAAGAAATTAAATTACAACTTGATCTTACCAAATACTAACCATTATTTTAGTAGAATTTTGCTGGGGATGAGTTTGAACAGTTTTGATCATGGGTTGGATTTGGCCAAAATTGATGCAATTACTGATATATTAAACGTAATATATAAATAAAGAAAAAAAAAAAGTAAAGGGGATGGAGGTTTTTTGAGGTGTGTGTTAAAACTTTTTTGATAGGGGTCGGTCCCATATTTGAGAGAATTAAATTGGTGTTCTTACACAGTTACAGCATGTCCCCCAAATGTGTACAGAATGTTCGTGGCCCCCGTGAAATACAGGACCACCTTGGTCGGACCCGAGTGCTTCACTCCTTCAACCTAATAATAACAATTTAAATTAATTACCAAATTATTATTTTTTTTTTCTTTTCTTTTTGAAGTAAGAAATTAGAGGAAGAAAATGAAGTTCTGGAAAGCAAACCTGGCCATGGAGGAAGGAGGCTATGGTGAGATACCAAGCAGTGTAAGTGGTCATGGCGAGGCCCAAAAATGACCAAATTCTGTAGTTGTGGAACGATGGAATAAATACTGTGGTCGCACAGCAGGCTCCGAATATGTACGTCCATGTCCTCTTGTCAAGCTTATCGTTTATGTAATATATGTTGCTGACACGTCCGGCCCGTCTCATTTATATTTAGGAACACTAATAGAGATCTAACAAAAGTTTATAATATACATCATGGTGATTAGTTACCTGGCGCATGCTATGAGTTGGATTACCGAGCCGAACAACAGGAATGTGCAGTTGAATGCCAAGCCCACGTTCCTCCACCGCTTGCCTAATAGCCCGTCGAGAACCTCGAACCACTATTCGAAATTCAAAACCAAGCAAAAGGGTTTAGCAAACTGTGAGTATGATGTTTGATTGATTGTTTATTAGATGGGTGTGGTGAAACCTGGATGACATGGTTTCTAAAGTCAGTTTTGTGTCTCTCTTTTCTGGTTCTGTATTCAAGGTAGAGGGAGGTGATGAGATATGCCGTCCAGCTTCCCATCAAGCCATAGAAGAGCTGCAGCAGAATTCCGGACACCATCCCCAGTTGGGCAAACGAATATGGCAAAGTCAGAAGAACTTGAGCAACCTGTACGTGGCAACCACGTTTGATTAGGACAAGATAGATTCTCACTAATAAGGATTAAGTAAAGAGAGAGGACCTGGTTTGAAGCACAGCTGAACCAAGCATCGTAAGCAGACCCGCCATGCCAAAAGAGCTTGGAGAGCTTGGTTTTGACATCGGTGGCCTTGGCTTCGATGCTCTCCATTTCCACGTAGTTGCCTACTATCACGGTCTCCTCCACCTTATCGGATGCCGCCATCTGTCTCTTCGGATTAAGTTTCAAGGAGAATGAATTGGCTTATTCGAAAAAAGTCTTCTTTTTTAAGATGGAAAGTGGGGATTTTTGAGGAGTGTTTATATAGAAGACTAGGGGCCCGAGGGGGGTGGGAGGATGGGAAAAAGTGAAGCCTTTTGCCAAAAAAACAAAAGAGAGAGCAACAAAATCCAATGCTACCTTCTCTCTTCTCCACTGTACTCCATCACTTTATTTTATTTTTAAGTTAAATCTTACTTTTTTAATTTATCTTCTTAATTAATTTACATATGGATTTGGACTAGCACACTCCAATACCATAAAGTCTTCAATTTTTATCCTTTTTTTCTTTCTTTTTTTTTTGGGTCAATACCATAAATATGTATCCTAAACAATGAAGTTGGATAGTAAAAATTAGGTCCAAATATTATTTTGGTCTCGTGGCTATAGTTTATTTTGATATTTTTAAAATTTCTACTTTAATTTTTGTACTTTTAAGTGGTTCATTTTAGTCCATATACTTTTTAATGATCCATGTTTTAGTTATTTTACTTTTAAAAAATTCTCTATAAAAGATTTATGTCTACATTGCAAAAAAATTTAATAAGTGAAATGTGACTAAAATAAAAAAAAGTATATAGATAAAATGAACAAAAGTCTAGATTCTAAAAAGTTACTTTAAATGTGTATAAAATCGACTTGGAAAAAAATGGCTCATTTAGAGAAGCTTGGGAATGGATAATATATGATAGTAAATAATTTTAGGTTAAATTAATAAAATATAATTATACATAATTTTAGGTTAGGTTAAGTTGTAAATTTAATCTTTAAATTTTGATGTTATTTAAAATATATATATACATCTTGATGATATGTATTGTATTTAGTTCCTAAATTTAAAAGATTTTAATTATGTTATTGTCTCCTTAGTAGAAGCTAAATAATGACATGAAAATGACTAATTTAATGCAACATAAGAAATAAATAGCATATCGATATTGGATAACTAGACAAGAATTTTATACCTTGCTTCAAAAAGAGAGTCTATGTTTGCAAATGTCAACATTTCCACTTTTTTGTCATATTTTTTTCCTTTTTCTAATCTATCTATCACATTACGTTATATGAAAAGAAAAAAAGAAAGTATCGTATTATATCATATTAATTATCTACTTGACATATAACCGGAAAAAGTTGGTGACAATTCTACATTGTCATATTTATAAATACAGCAACCAAAATTGTTATTTCACAAATATGACAATTTCTGAAAAATATCGCATATATATTTAAAAAAATTTACATACTAATTTACTTTTTACACTCATATATTACTAATTTATATCTATCAACAATATATATAGCCTATAATTTAATTTATACAATCTGTCTATCATAGTCTATCATTGATATGATCTATTGTTATAGATAGGGTTAGATCTACATAGAGATCAAGGGGGCACGTACACCCTTAGATAAATTTATTATATTTTGTTTATTGAATCAATGTTTATTGGCCGCACGCTCTTTAAGAATACATTTTTACATATATTTATCTTATAATTATTGTGCCTCTGAATGATATTATTTATGGATTTGCCACTCGTTGGACTATGTAACAGATATATATATATAGAATAGTGATATAGTCTATCACTGATAGATGGATAGATGTTTCAAAATTATTTTAATCTTTTTGATGGGTAGGATTTGTGCTCAATTTTTTCTTCTTCTTATATTTACAAATTCATAATGTTCTTACAATATTTGCCATTAATTAAACTTGTTTTAACTTCTTACCATATTACAATATATGCAAGCCCCTAATTAGTTGATATATTACTTAATTTTATAGACTCCATGTGTTGATCTCAAGATGATTCGCCATGAATTAAAATAGAATGAAAATTTTTCTATATTTCTAACGAGAAAAACTACATATATATAATTCAATTCAAGAATGAAATTTGTTTTATGATTCAACCAATGTAGAGATAAAAGGATTTAATAGGTACCTTCATTCTCACTTAGTCAATACTCGAATGTAATTCAAGTTTAAAAAGTAAACAACAAAATAGATTAAATTTATAAGTTAATTACTTTATTTAAATCATAGTACTTGGCGATACAGGGATATTAATTAAACCAAAGTTTGAGCTTAGGTTATTGTGTTATGGATCTGCTGCATTGCCATAATTTCCATTTTGCACGTAACCCAATGTATATCAGAACCACAATTTTCGATTGAGCCAATAATTTTTGTTCCTTCGATGAACATGATTTAATTTCGTTAGGCCACCCACATGCTTCTCTAAACATAACATACCATTCTTCACCAAATATTTATTTCTCACTTTCGAGGAAACCAATATTTAATCTCTATATCCAATTATATATATATATATATATATATTTTAAAACAATTTTGAAATTTTGGAACTCAAAATGAAATTAAATATTTGTTCAAAATTTTTGACGAAGAACATAAGTTTAATTCATGCATATATACATTGATGCATAATTTTGACCTTATAACTAAATTATCCATTCTATGAGAGAGCAATGCACAAAAAGAGTAAAGACTCTGTTTTCAAGTTAGTATGTATAAGAATTGCATACCTGGATCAGAATGACATTCCTATTTATAGGGTGTCAGTTGATGGAACCCGTGCAACCATTTTGTTAAATCATTTGATGGTTTGTGTATTACACAATAACGATTAGATTCATTATCTCAGAAATTATAAGTGGCCAACTTATGAAGCTCGACCAACTATGATCAAGCTTGATCACACTAGAAAAAGGTTCCAACATATTAATATTTCAAAATTTTTCACATGGTAGGTCATATTTTACCTTCCGTCAATATAAGAAGAGTTGAAGCTTTGGTAGTAATAATATATATTTGGGCAGTATTGTGGTTAAGAAAATGTTTAATGTTCATAGGGACTACAGAAAAAGTTGGTGAAAGGGACGAATTTGCAAAGGGAAACAGGGACTGAGAGGGGAAATAATGACAAAGTCGATCGCATGATTGCAATTAAACGTGGCGTGGTGGGTTTAAAATGAAAAAAATGAACCAAAAAAAAAAAGCTACTTTTCTCACATTCCGTTTAACCCACTTTGCAATTTTGCTCTTCCAACTCTTTCGTTTTTTTTAATTAAAAAATTAATTAATAAGAAAAAAAATTAACTTTGTGAGCCGCATAAAATATGGCACCTAATTGTATTCTATATTTAATTAATACAAATGAGACGAATTCGGATGCTAGTCTCGTCTTTTCTTTCCCTCTGTAGAGTGAGAAATTATAATAGTTAGAAATATATATTTTAATTAGTTGAGTTAAATTCATGTTTTCAATTTTTTATATCAATTTTTTGAATCACCAGCATAAATTTTTAGGACTTATTTCCTTCTTTTTATTTTAACTTTTCCATGGATTCTTTATGCGGAGAATATCAGTCGCTTCCCACAATAAAAGTTTGGTATTGCTATTTAATATGAATGTTCAGAAGAATTATGAAATTCAACTCTCCCAAATGAAACCCTTGACTAGATTTGGCCTTTTTTTCTCTATTAAATTTGTTAATAGGAGAGAGGATAGAAGATTCCAGAGGTCAAAATGAATCCGAGAGAAAGATAGAGGGAAGAAAAAGTCACAATTTTAAAAGTATATTTTACATTCTTAGTGAAATTTATTATTTTTGGATAAAAATTTAATCATATATAGATATCTCAAGAAATAAAATTTGTCCACCACTAAATTTGTTGTTTTTTAAGATATCTGTAGATAGGATTAAGACATTTAAGATTTTTTTAGGTGATTTAATATGTTTAAAATGGTATCAAAGCATAAATTATGTATTTGAAATCGTATTATCATTTTTCTTTCCACTATTTTGAATCTAGTACAAATTTTCAAATCCACAAGTGCCTAATTATAGACTTATTTTTGTCCAATAAATTTTATTTTATTATTTGCTTTGTTTTGATATCCTATATTTTATTTTTAAATGTTGTTAAAAATTTTATTATTTGTGTAAACTTATCATTTAATTTCTATACTACATTTACAAAATTCTCATGTATTGATTTTATCTCGAATGTTAGAAATAGTTAAAAGTAAAGCTAAGCTTGAAATTGTAACACAATTAAACTAATTTTTTCGAACCTAATGAAATAGCTCAAGGAGTAAGATTTTGCAATTTTAAGTATAAATCATTCTTGTATCTTTGTATCATGGTATTTATCTTGCTCGAACTAAAAACCAAGCAATATAGCATTGTAGCGAAGAAAAAATATGGTGATTGCAGAAAATAATGCCCTTTTTTTACTAAAATTATTTTGTTAACAAAAAAAATTGTAAAGAATTTATTTTTTAAAAAATCGTTGTCATTAAATAATTATTAGTAACTTTTTGTTAACAAAAATATTCATTCAATAATAATAGGTAGGTGTGTGAATTCGAACCTACGGACTTTTGATTGAAAACACATGTTTTAATATGTGTTAAAAGACTTGTTTTTAATACATTAAAAAAATGAAGTTAAGAATTTAACCATATAACTAAATGAAAAAATTATCCAAAAAGTTGGACACTATTTTGATTTTTTTTTTCTTTGAGAAGTATTTTGATCTATTATCCCTTCGATTATATAAAATTGGCCCATAACGAGCTTGCAATTTGACTTGGTATGATTTATGTTGTGTACGAAAGCATGGTACAGACATTAGTTAATGTAAGATAATACATACATACATATATATACTCGATTAATAATATATAAATGTTGTACTGCTGTAACTCCTGCTTTGATATATCTTCTCTTAAATGTCACTTTTTTTTTCCAAAGACAATTCAAAATGATCCTAAAGTATAGATCTCATCTATGTATTTATTATCTCAAAGTTCGATTTCCATGTTTTCAAATTGTCATATTAAAAATATGAATTTAAAGTACACTAAATTAAATAATCTGAGATTTAATTACTAAATTGAATGGTAATGTAACTAAATTTATAGTCCATAGTTGT